TTGTGGGCCCCTGCCCCCCCCCCCCCCCCCACACACACTTTTCTAGGTGCTGTGACTCACACTGCCACCCCCTTTCTGCGTATTTTACTTGTTTCTCTTCCTCTCTCCATTCCTCGGCATTTCCACATCTCCTGTGTTTGATAGGAATATTCCCGTTTTTTTTTCTAACACTGCAGGACTTGCAGGCAGTCTTGCTGCCTCCACTGTGTCGGTCTCTCACTTTCGGTCTCTGTTTATGTCCCCACTTTTGTATATTTCTCTGAAACAATCTTACAGTTTTCAGCTTCTCTGATTGTTGTGGTCCAGCTGCCCACCTCCACATTTTGACCCTTCTTAGCTCTGCTATGTGACCTCTCAGAGACCTGGACTGTAATAGCAGGGTCCGGCCCACACAAAACACATCTGAGCCGTTTGGCCCAGTAAACTATATGACCCGTGCTGTAAATGTTACCACTGCCTAGAATTATACGCCGCTCTCATGATTGCAGTAGACTGTTCGGAGCATGAGAGGTCAGTCGCCAAATGCTGACCCATGTCGGTTTTGTCTTTTGGGGTGGCTTTGAACCTCAAGAACATTAAATTCTTCCTAACTACTCTGAAAATTACTAAATTAAAAATATATTTTCTATTTTATATAGATTAGGCATGGGCCGGTATGAGATTTTGACGGTATGATAACCTTAAGCAAAAATATCACAGTTTCACAGTATTGTTGTTACAGCTCTAAAATGTGTTGTTTTTAAATGTCTGGGTAAAAATAAATAAATAAATAATTTTTTTCACTGAACACAATATATTTTATTTTTGAGCAACATACAGAATATTTGGAACAGCAGTATTTGTTTATTTTTTCTTTGATTTGTTTCTGACATGTTTGCTGAATTGTGGGCTGTCTTGAAGCTTTTGATGTGGAAAAAAAAGAAAAATAAACACTGACATCTTTATTTAACCTAAATCTGTAATTACAGTTATTTAATTTTAGTTATATAATACAGATATCATTTATATCAGTGGTCACCAACATTTTTAGGCCCAAGATCCCTCAGCTCGGCCTTTATGAAAGACAAGATCTACCTATTGAAGAATTGATAGAAAAAGACATTCCAGATTGTACTTCAAACGTGTTACTCTCTACACTGCACTCAACCTGAGGGATTCCTACACTTTCAGTCTTTGAGGAGACATGGAAAAACAGCGCATACCGCAGGAACGGTATAACAGAAAATATTAGTGCCTTTGAAACCGTGAAATTTTCAAATCACGGTATACCTTGTAACCGGTTATCAGACCATCCCTAATATAGATATTTAATTTAAAACTGTTTAATTTAAGACATTATGCACCACTAAAAAATAAAATAAATCTGATTCTGAAAAACAAGCAAAACTCCGCTTTGAATCACTGAAGGGAGGTAGAGACAGGAAGTGGGTAGGGTTGTGACAGTGAGAAAATTTTCCCACCGGTAATATCGGTATCACCGTTGGGGTGGGGTGTTAGTTAATTTGAGTTTCCCTTTTTTCCTTGGATTTCTTGGCTTTCAAATACTTGAAAAAGCGCCGTGTGCATTTTAATTTCACTTTCAAATTAGCGGCAATTCGGCGTTGATTCAATTCAAGCAACAACAACGTCAAACTCATAGAACTTTTATTAACAAAACTAATAAAAATACACCATATATGCCTTATAAAATAACAAATTACTTGGGCTACACAAAGTTTAAATAGGCATATAAAACTGAAAATCAACGTTTATTAGCAAAACGAATAAAAACGCTTGGAGGCACGGCATATACACCTTGATGTAAAATAAAATAAATAAAATACACAAAGTTTAAATAAAGTAATCAGCAAACACTGTGGAACCAAATAAATATGAAACGAATGTTTAAAAAAACTTCCAGTCAATAGGCTTTTCAAAATCTAAAATATTGCCAAACAGGCGCCTTTGCATTTCTCCTGCCATGGTTTTGTCTTTCTCACTTCACTCTTGTCAGTCAGCTCGACTCACTCTCATCACGTGATAAATAAAATCTGACTCCTGCTCTGTGGTGCACTGTCATTCAGTGTTTCGTTTTTAAAAGTGTCTGTCCTCTAACTGAACTAGGCTAAATGATTGTCTTTTTTGTATTTTACTATTAAAAAAAATAAAAATGACGGTGGGGGGGGGGGCGGTGCTGCGGTAGGCAAATGACGTAACCGGTGTTGCGGCTTAACACCGGTATAACCAAAAACACCGTCTATCGCAGCAAGCCTAGAAGTGAGGTGTCAAGATGGGAAGGAAAGCCTTTTCATAAAGCTAGAAAGGAATTGCCCCCCTCTGACAAAGTGCAGTGGCTCATGCATGTACAAAGAAATGACCTTTTCCCCTAATCTTTTCACAAATGTATGTCCATAATGAAGTCTACTCGATTATGTCTTATAGCCTGTGTAATCAGTCTGTGTGAACTGTGATGCACAAAGTGTCTGATATTTTAGAATAATTTCAAGTTTGTATCTTTTCTGACGTTCTGCTTCCGGTCCATCCATCCCCCTCCCACTCATGAAGTCTGTGTACTTTAAATGCTTGTGCCATCTATTTTTGTTATGCTGGTCATTATGTAACAGCCAACAATTACACAATAGGTTCATTTACACTAAATATCCTGTAATGAAATCAGTACAGACTGCGTTATCTATATTGGTCAAATTAGATTGCTTGGAAATCAAACTTTTTTATTTTTTTTTTGAAGGAATGTTTTTATCATTAATGCATGTATGCATTGCGTGTGCGTACACATATGCATGTGTACTTTGGGCTTTGTTTATGACGTTGCTCATCTAAATTAGTCTCAAGTGTGTGTGTGTTTTTTTCTGTTAAGTACCGTCTAATGTCCTGTTTTCTAATGCATTCTTATCTCTTATGTTCTGTAGATGCTCCAGTCACTAAGTCTAGCTCGTCCTACTCAGGCGGCCCACGCATCCAGAGACAGGAGCAGGTCATTCACCTTTCACCCAAGAAGGGCAGCCAGGTGGGTTCTTGACTGCTGCATATAACCGCTCAAATACCTCTTCACTAAAGTGACAAGTGACAAGTGACGTGACATGTGGCCAAGTATGGTGATCCATACTCGGAATTAGTGCTCTGCATTTACCCATCCAAAGTGCTTTGTTAACACTAAGCTAATATGTTGGTTAGAAGGTTACTTAAAAGTAATCCTTTAAGAAGATTTTGAGGTCAACAAGATTTTTAAAAATAAATTAATACCTTTATTCTGGAGGCATTAAATTGATCAGAAGTGACAGTATCACAGTTTCCACAACAAGATTAAGCAGCACAATTAAAAAAATATTCAAAAGAAGTTAATTAAAAAATTTTTTTTTGAACATCAAATCAGCAAGATTTGAATGATTTCTGAAGGATCATGTGACACTGAAGACTGGAGTAATGACAGCTGAAAATTCAGCTTTGCCATCACAGAAATAAATGTTATTTTAAAATATATGAAAATAGAAATAGTTATTTTGAATTGTGATAATATTTCACAATATTACTGCTGTTACTGTGTTTTGATCAAATAAATGCAGGCATCTTGAAAAACATTTCCAAATCTTACTGACCTCAAACTTTTGAACAGAAATGTATGAGAAAATGTACTTCTTGTATTTATGTTAGTTTTTGATTTTGAGAACACTTTTATACCATTTTCAAGAAAAAAAAATATTTAATTACTCTGTCAATGTAATGTGGCGTAAGCATTAAGTAAAATATTTTCTTTAAAAACATGAGTTTACATCTTAATCATTTTTTCATAAAAAATTTTAAAATACTTTTTCCAGTGTAGAAAGTTTTATTTAATTTGAATCTATTAATTGATGAATATCATTACGTTTTCGGGAGAGTTGCACAACACAAACTAACCTTGCCATGTCGTTCTAGATTTTTTTTCTCAGGCTGATGAACAATAAGCATTTGTTTAAAAGCAAGCATTCATGAAGGTCTCCAGGGGTCCTCTCTATGATATCATTTCCTGTTTTATTTTTTGTGTGTGTTGATTGCACCACATTTTGTTGGTCAACTTTGATTTAGCAGACCAAAGTTTTTCAAATATTAATAAGCAGTTATGCATTTTTGTTTATAGTTTATTTTTTCTAAGAAATTGCTGGTGGGAAATCTAGTTTGCTTTTGTGTAGCTCTTTCTGAATATATGACCTTTTCAGTGCCCATTTCCTTTTTCTTACAGTCTGAAGGTCCATACTCCCACTCAAGCAGTAATACGCTCTCCAGCACCGCGTCTAGTGGGGGTCACAGCGATGACAAGTGGTATGATATGGGCAGTGGAGGGATGGGAGACCAGCCGGACTCTGAGCCGAACGGACTGGGTGGTGGGTATCTGCAGGGTGCTTCAGCCGACAGCGGCATTGATGCTACAACATACGGCCCCACCCAAGGGAGTTCCAGCTCTCTGCTGGCTGTGGGAGCTACTGGTACCAGAGAAAGAGCTCCCTCACCTTGGCACAGCCCTACAGAAGGCAGCCGGAGGGTGCTTGAGAGGTCCCCTCCTGCTGCTGATTCCCCAGTGTCCACTGCAGATGTGCCGCCTACTACCCGAGGCCCACCGACCCATCTACTGGTCCGGGATGGCAGTTCCTACAGTTTGAGTGACATGGCCTCTTATTCTAAGTATGTGTTTTGGTATGGGATTTTTTAGCAGCAACTTAGCAAATACCCAGAACTCTAGTTATTTAACTACAGAAACAAAATGTGATGCAAAACTCACTTATTGCTTGAGTATATATCTAGAAATATGATTCAGAGTTTGAATGTTAATTCAGTTCTTTGATATACTGTATCAAATGTTTGTACTAGGAATATTGTATACATATACTTTATATACATATAGATACTATAAAGTATGTATACTATTTATTTTTTGTGATAGTCTAGACATAGTTTCCCTTATCTGGCTCTTCCTCAGCACACGCCACTCTGTCAGCCCTGCAGTCCTGAGCTCTAGCCATAGCTCCCCACGTGAAGAGTCTTCCTCAGCCACCTCCCCCTCCTCCTCCTCCTCCCAGAGCTCAGTGTCACCTGGCCCTAAGAGTTTCTATCCGCGCCAGGGGGCCACTAGCAAATACTTGATCGGCTGGAGGAAACCAGGCAGCACCATCAACTCTGTGGACTTTGGGGACACGCGCAAGTAAGTAAGCGAGCTTGGCTGTGGGTATGATGGATGGCTGAAAGATGTGTGACTGGATTATTAAGGTGTAAAGAAGTGATGTTTGAAAGGATAAACAAAGGCACAAGCAAATCATGGACTAGTTACATTCCTGTTGGATAAATTTGTTTTATATACAGTTAGGTTTGATCTAGTTGTTTTTGCTCTCTCTGACCTTCCTCTTTAGTGGCAATAAATGTGTGATCTTTTTGTCAAAAAATATTTTTTAGCTTTTGTTTTCCTCAGTGGGTCTTGTATTTTTGTTTGTTACCAATATGTGACTGCCACCTTCTGGAGAAGAAGAGTAATAGTGAAATTAAATCTGTGCATATTGGTCCTGCTAATATGGAAATTGTTGCCTTAAAGGGGTCATATGATGCGATTTGAAGTTTTCCTTTCTCTTTGGAGTGTTACAAGCTGTTCGTGAATAGATAAGGTCCCTAAAGTTGCAAAGACTAAAGTCTCAAACCCAAAGAGATATTCTTTATAAAAGTTAAGACTCGTCCACGCCCTCCTAAAACGCCTCGTTTAAACACGCCCCCACATGTCTACGTCACTGTGTAGGAAGATTTGCATAACATCGCACAAATGTTCACGCAAAGAAAGAAGGCGTAACTTTGATTCTCGCTGTAGTATTGTTACCGCAGCCGCCATGACGTGGAGACGCTGTGTGTTTCGTTGTGAAAGCGAAACTACTTTATTTGGCCTTCCAAAAGAGGACACAACTAGAAATCAGTGGTTAAGTTGTATTTACAACACTGTTCCAGAACAGTTCAAACCAAATATTCAGATGTGCACAGCGCATTTTACGGAGGACGAGGACTGTTTACTGGGAGAGTAGCCTACAATGCCGGTGTTCTGACAAATAATGCTGACTCACAAGCCTGTAAGTACGTTTTCATATTTAAAGGATTTGCCACTGATGATTCAAATGCGAGTTTTGAGCAGTGTAGAGTAGTGCTTGTTGTTTGTCGTTTCTCAGATCACAAATGCAGACATGGTTTTATGTTTACGCGGCTCGATACGCAACGGGTAAAAAAAACAGTATAAGTAATTATAATCAGTAATTATGTCCCCACTGGATGCTACAAATGCCTCGTTTTTAATGGGTTTTACTGGTTTTGTCTCATCGCACCGGGACACGGCATCACAGTATGGTAAGGGGCGTAACATTTCCGTCACACGCTTGAGGCATTCGGCCAATCACAACGCACTGGATAGCTGGCCAATCAGAACAAACCTCGCTTTTCAGAACGATGAGCTTTGTATAAATCAATGAGTTTCAGAAAGGTGGGGCATAGAGGAGGAACAATAACGTACAGTATGTGGAAAATAATGTTTTTTTTTTTTTTTACCTTAAATCGCATGTAATGAAACACATTTCATTACAACAAATACACAAAATTTTATTTTTTAGCAACGTCATATGACCCCTTTAAAAATAACAGTTAAGGATTTAATGTTTTAATTCATTTTTTTTTCCTCAGAAGACCACAGGGTGAGGGGACAGACCCCGGGTCTTCTCAGTCCAGACCCTCTCTTAGGGATCTGCACTCTCCTCAAGCCATGTGCAAGTCCACAGTGGAAGAAGGTCTGAAGAAACTTCTGTCGCCAGAAAGTCCTCCATCCAAGCAGCACGAGGACAAGGTCTGTCAACTGAAATAACTGTAATACTAAGCCAGTGTGCTCCATTTTTGAATAAGGTTGGCCAATTGCATCATTGGCTCTGTTTACCTCTGGTATTAGGGATGAATGTTTAATCAAAATTGCTATATAATTGTTCTCATTTTAAAAGAATAGCAGAGTTCACAACACAACTATAATGATAACGGCACAGAGGAACTTTTTTTTCCCGAGCTGAACAATAAACATTTGTTTAGAAGCAGATGACAAAACTACAACACACACTTAGAATAAACAGAACATTATTGTGTGTTGGTGTGGACGTTTGTATAGTTATCATTATAGTTATCTTTATAGTTATCGTTCTTGGTGTGAACGGTAATAGATGGTTAGTGACATCAATCATATATCCCTTCCCTTCTCTTCCCTGCAGTCCTCCTCAGGTCCAGCGAGCTCAGGGAGGCGTTCTCTGCACCGCACCCTGTCAGATGAGAGTATATACCGGGGTCAGCGGCTGCCGTCTCTGGGAGATTCAGTTCTGGAGCAGGCTCTGGCCAGCGAGGTGCTCTTCAGCTGCTCTACCCTTCCACGTTCGCCGACCACCCGTGGCGCCCCACTGCGCAGACCTTCCTACAAAATGGGCATCAAGATGCATGGTGAGAAAACCTGTCATGATTGGGTCAGAGTGCGGTTACAGGCTAGCGCATTCTATAGAGATGTCCTGAAATTGCAAAATATCATAGAACAAATTTATTAAGCCTGGAGTCATCAACAGGGGGTCCGAGACATGACTACAGGGGCTCCACCAATTATTGTTTGATCTCAAACTAATTCTTGTGGGGAAAAAAATGAGACTGTGCATTTAACAAACATACAATATTACTATAACTTAAAAGCTCAAATTCAGCTAAATGTTTTATTGTCTGGAAAGATTTTTAGAGACTCAGTACTGCAAGTTATGAAAGTGCATTGCAATGTAGTTCCATTAAAGTTGATATTTATGTTGTGTAAGATCCACACTCCACAAGCTCTAACTGGGCAAAAGCGCATAATCACACACATGCGCGCACACACACCACCTCATGTTTTCTCATTGGCTATGTGTTAGGTGACCTCTCAGCGTCTGACACCTCTCTAGCAGACCTGCACGAGCGACAGAGGCCACCTCCTCCTGAACTGGGTCTCATGCCCCTCCCGGACACAGAGACAGACAGTGGCCTGGACTGGACCCACCTCGTAGATGTTGCCAATGCTTTCGAGGGTGAGAGAAGACCACAGCGCAGTGAGCCCATTTCTCTTCTCTTTATCTCTCCTTCTCAGCTTTGTCACAGCTTTGCACAATCCACCTGTCCATCTTTTGAAGAAGGGAGTTTTTTTTTAATTTTATTAAAAGTGTAAGGGCACTTTCATATGGCAGGGTTTGATTGTTAAAGCTACACTGTGTAACTTAAGATTTAAAAAATTTGCTTTAGCAAGATAAAAGCGTAGACCATTTTATTCCAAAGATGGAAAAACCACAATATGTTATCAAACAACACCCATAAATTAACTTTTGGAGGGAATGGTGCTTGTGATGAAAATGTTCATGAAAAAATGAGAGAATTCTCCTGTGACTGTAAAATTAAATAAAGTGAAAGTGGCTGCCGTGGAGCAATTGGGGGTTTGGTACCTTGCTCAAGGGCACCTCAGTCGTGGATATTGAGGGTAGAAGAGAGCAATGTACATACACTCACCCCACCTACAATTCCTGCTGGTACTGACACTTGAACCCACGACCTTTGGGTTACAAGTCTGACTCTAACCATTAGGCCACGACTGCCCTAAAGAGAGTGAAAAATAACCTAATGAGAGAGTGAAAAGTGTTTAAGGGAGTTTAATAACAGGGCCACAAGTGGGTAGTTAAAGAAACACCCATTACTTGGTGGCAAGAACCTGATATGTCTTAAACTTTAGTTATTTAGGCTTATGAGGATAAGGATTTATCCATTTTGTGTCATATCATGATTTGCTGAAATGGAAGGATTTAGAATAATGAGTGAACTGCTGTTATATAAATGGAAATGTCCCCTGAGGACTTGCACTGATGGACAGATGTGAAATCATGTCTTGGAATGTGCGTCTGTGTTAAGCTTGAGGTGCAGCTTTATCATATGCCTAATGCTGCCTTCACAGTTAAATTAATGCTCTGCTTGTCATCACATCATCATCTCTCTCTCTCAACTCCATCACACTCTTCTTCTTCTTCATTCCCCTCTCAGTGCAGCGAGGGTTTATGTTTAGTTCTCAAGACATCAGTCAGAGAGGAGAGACTTCACTCAGTCCTCAGCATGTAGAGCTGCAGCCAGTGCCCCACACCAGACTCTCCCCCAGGTACATCCACCATCCAATGTGTAATTCTTATTTTTTGTGAATGTGGTTTCTTAGTTATGTTGTAGTTTCTTGCACGTCATCCGTTTTGTCCTAACTCTGGTTCTTCTGTTAGTGAGGGGCCTTCAAGCTACAGTGGGAAGGTTTCTCAGCTGGAAGCTCTAGTGAAGATGTTGCAGGAGGACTTAAAGAAAGTGAGGAGAACTTATACAATATTCAGAACAACCTCTTTGACTTCTACAACCCTATTAACTCTGTTGTAAACAGAAGCTCTGCCAAAATTTTAAAGTGAGTGTATTCACCCTCAACTTTATCATTCTCTCACCCTGTTTTTCTTGTCCTTCAGGAAAGGGAAGAGAAATTGAAATTGCAGGCACAAATTAAGAGGCTTTGGGAAGACAATCAGAGGCTGCAAGAAGAGTCTCAAAGCTCCGCTGCCAAGCTCAAGAAGTTCACTGAGTGGGTCTTTAACACCATCGATCTGAACTGAGCCATCTGCAGAAGACAGGCAAGATCAATAGACTTCTCGAGGACCAGACAGACGTGGGAGAGACTTATACTCCCAAGTGAGACCGGATTGAGAATTGTCCATTCACAAGTCAACATAATTTGATGTTCACATTAACATTCCTTTACAAACTATCTACATATTTGTGGTGATAATGACCAATTCTGACATGGCTCAAATTCAGGCAAGGGCAAAAATACAAATATTTAGCCCATTTCTGTGATGACTTCTCCTTTCTAGATCCCCCTGGACATCATTAAAAATGCCTACAGGAGTAACTACTAACTGACTGATGCCAGCCTATGCCTTCCAGGCTGTTGCACTCTTGTCCCTTGTCCCTTGTCTCTGTGTCCCCTACGTAGCCCTGACAACCTGACATTCGGTTCCAGTTATTTGGATAGTGCTATAGCCCTGCCCCATGAAGACCCCCTGCCTCAGTAGAAGACTCCTCTGCTACACGACCATATTTCAGCATTCAGCACCATGTCATAACATTTCGTGGCGTCATTGTGGTTTTGGAGTTTGCTTTTTTCCTCAACTGTAGAAAGCCTGTCCGCATGTTCTGGCGAAACCAGTCTACAAACTTCATGTGTCACCCTGCTCTTCAGATACTATTTGTGTTTCAAACGAAGGAACACGAAGGGCGGCATGAAGTGATTTGCTCATGATGAAGTCAAAACTTGTGTTGTGATGTTTCATCTCAACATCAATTGAAGCAATAGCAGGGAGTCAAAATCCTTGTCCTGAAGACCGGACTTGCAAATATAATGACATTGGCAATATCCTGCCTCGATTCCTCTCAAGTACATCTCAAGTCTATGGTACAAACACTGATGATCCTACAAGTCTGGAATTTAAGGACAAGTCTTATTTTGGGAACAGTTCAGTTATTTATTCTGTTTATGTTATGAGTAATCAATTGATTCTCTATGCGTGCGGACATCTGTGAATAGTGTTTGTTTCAGAAGATGTCACTTCATTTGGACTCTGTTTTTATTTTTGGTATTATTTTTATTTCTAGTAGAGTTCTGCCTGAGCTGCAGTATTTTTTTGTTGTGCGAGTTATGGTGCCCTAGTCTGCTATTGTGTTGCTTTAGTGCCATCTAGTGGTAATAAGTGATCGTCTCACTTGACTTCAGGTTTAATCTATTCCAGTTTGTTTCAACGTTGCCAATACACATCCATAGTGATGGAAACCTTCCATTCAAACAAGAGATAACGCTATAAAAGCAGATACACTGGTATTGGATTCAATATCAGGGATGAGAGGATTTCTGAGAAAAGGGAAAAATGGAAGGAGAGAAAAAAACTAGGAGCAGTTTCAGAGACATATGCGAACTCATAACAGGAGACATGAGTTCTCATGAAAAATGCAATGGGCTGCTCACAGGAACTAGGCTCAGAAAGAATGCACTCACACGGAGTCATTTCTTGGGTGCTGTGGCCGTCATTGCGCAATAAGCGCAGAACTAGAGGGACGGCTTAGTTAAGAGCCTGGTTCACTGTCTGGGGTCAATAATATTGAACAACTTCCCTGTAATTTCACACCCGGTTTTATAGCACTTTGCTCTTGTTGTCAGTTCCTCAGTCCCTCGTCTGAACATAGTGGCATTCCCAGAGCAAAAAGATCAGTCATCAAAGATCAAACTTCCTGCCCTACTTATATCACTGACCCAAGTAATGTACATTGTATAGATCTCCATTTTCTGGTTTGCAGGGCCTGTTTATACTGTTCAGGAAACGCTAGCTGGTTTCTCAGTATAATGAAGATGGAGTCAATTTCTGGATACTTTAAGTATTATGAAGAAGATGTGCACAATGAATTCGGAGGTAACTAAAAGTGAGCAGTCATTATCGATTCTGTTGTAGGAATCACTCGAAGTGTCTCAGAAAGTGCCTCCCGATGCCAGCAGAGAACGACACACTAAGATTTGCCAAACATTTTGCCTCGGTCAAAACTCCTTGTAAACAGGGATGACCTGCACAACATGGAGAACTACATGAGATTATTAGTATCCATTCCAGGTTTTACTGCCTTAGTCAGGAGGGTGAAACAAGCGCATCAAACTCCCTGACTGCTATTTACTCTCACATCTCTCCCCTCTGGTTTGGTATTCATTTTTCCAACATCCTCACATATCCTTTATCATTTTTAAACACATAAATGGCTTTGTTCAAGGTAAATATTGATGACTGTGGGAATGTGATTTTTTAAAATTCGTTCTCTTATTATTAATTCATTCTCTTCGTTATCTCTTATCTCTTCTAATTTTGTTCTTAGCTTCCTGATTTAAATTTCTTTGCACAGGTTTTTTTTTCAGTTTTGTTTTGTAGAAATCTATTGGTTTATGGACATGCATAAACATATGGCTCTTGATGTTGTTTCTTGTTCTTACGTATGCAGTCACTTTTGAGAGAGATCAGGCTGGGATTGTTTTCCCTTCCTTGATCTCTTTTATATTGTGTCATTAGACGTTACTCCATATATTCTCCATCTAATCTTTTAAAGAATTGTGTTTTTAATGATGTGCACATTTTAAAAAGGAGCATTACAATTACAAACAAAAAGTGCTGTTTACATATACTGTTCATCTTCTTTGTAAAGAGTAGAGGTTTAAAAAGATACTTTCCAGTGATTACAGTATTAAGGTTTCATAAATAAATAATAATAAAAAAACTTGATTTGAGGTGCTGTAATTATTCATGAACTGGTCAAAACAATGGCTCATGCTTGCTGCCTGCTCTGAGGTGTAATCTGCCATTGCTTTCTGAGCCAATAAATTAATTTAAATGCCATAGTTGAATGTTATTCCAAGTCTCCTCGTGTTTATTATTATTGCTGTGATCGGTGTCCTTGTTTCATGTTTTTGTCTTTCTTTTTCCATCAGTGTTGTGCTTTTGTGGGAGAGGCTGATTTTTGCCACGGTAATGGCGAGGATAATTGCACCTTGCAGTAAGTAATCAGCAAAGCCTGTTGAAGAGCAGGGCTGGATTGCCAAAGGCTCCTCGCGTCCTCCTGCTGATCTGCCATTGATTGTGACGTTAACCCTCCCGTGACTGTGGCCTCGTGCCGCTGAATCCCATCTAATGTCAATGTGGCAGTAGCATCCAATGATATAGCTGAATTTGCAGAATGAAGTCACTTTTATATGCTGGGGAAAAGCCTCTTCTCTTTGTGGAAATGCTAATATTAACCCAAAATGGAAAAGAATGTAAAGGGCATCTCTTACCTGCAGCGGCCTATTCTGGCCAGAAGTCTGTGCAGCTTTTACTGCCCAAGCTAGGAAAGTCAAATAACCTTGCTGGATTTTCATGTATGTGGTAGAAGACATTTCTGATATATCAGCGAGCAAATGTCAATGGTGTTATTATCTGCCTCAGACTATTGGAAATGGACATGTAGAAGACTTGAGTGCACAGACCCAGACTGAAGTGGAGTGTCCTCTGCTCGGCATCTTGGGTTGAACAATGCAATAGGGAATTTTTAGTGCACTTGAAATATAGAACAAGTAGTGTGAGCAAAGGGCTTAGAGCTCTTCCCAGGAGTGCTGGCTGTTGTAAATGCCATCAGAATCCTGTGCAGATGCCAGTAGACTGAGCTCTCCACTATTTGCACTAATCACAGAAAATAACCAGGATAGAAATTAGATAAAGAACCAATGCCATAAAAATACACCCCATCTCTTCCTACTTCCATAATTCTTACAACTCTCACTGTTTCTTACCCTACTAATTTTGCAGTATCAATGCGCATTTGCTCTGCACTAGCAGTGTTAATTATTTTATTTTTCCGTTTTTTTTTTCTTTTGGTAAAAATGTTAAATTTTTTTCAATATTTTGTCACGTCATATTTATTCATCTTAGTCAGTTTTACTATTTGGCTATTGTCCAAGCAAACCAAATTATTACAAATATTTTATATATTAATTTAAATGTATAAACTTTTACCAGAAAATTAGAAAATTGTCCTTGTGTAAACCTGAGCTCCTGATAAAACATTGTTGCATTAAATGTTATGAAACCTTTATGCTTTAGTTATTCATTGTCTGTTTTTAGACATTCTATTACTTAACTAAATTCACGTTCACCTTATTAATCTTGTATGTAAAGCAAAGTGCTTTAGTTCATTCACTGTTCACCTTCAACTCATGCAGGCCAATCAGTGACATTTTTGACAGTTGATATTTATAACCATTTTTGTTTATTGTTAATGTATTGCAGTTTTTAGACTACCTTCTTTGATGATCATTTTGGTCATGAATTTTGTTGCCGGTATTAACATTGTGCACTAGGTTTCATTTTAGACTAATACTAGACACTTCTTTATTGCTTTAGGCATAGTCAGACTTTAACACTGGACTTGTTTTCTAAGCTTCTTACTCTAATAATGGGCACTTACGCAACACGTGCCCTTTCCTGCAGGCCTCTTTGGTAAGAAAGAGAGAACATTAAATGCACTGCAAATGTAAAACTCTTGTGACATGTTACCTAATATACATTGGAACATTACTTTCAAGACAGAAATATCTCCAATTCAGTGCAAGCAATGAGAAAACACTTGCATTTGCAACATATTCATCCTGCAGCTCAATGGAAGATCCTTTCTTTTCTATATGAAAATGGAAAACAGCTAATTTAGTGAGATGTGTGTGTGTGCGCACAATGCAATTAGACTACTGGAGATAGGGAAACACCTCTGCATTTCTTGCATCTCACTAGTCTAAATAATTAATCTAGCCTGGAGTGGGTGGGTTTCTGATACTGACAATTTGTGCTGATGCCGCTATGCACCAATGTTCATTAAGACTGTATATGTGTGTACACATGCCTCTTTGAGTGAGTAGTTGGCAGAATACATTTGTGATTCAGACATGATGAACAATTACTCCTCCCTAATGGCTTTTGATGGTATTGATTTCAGAGAAGCAAGCATTTGTACTAATGACTATTTGGAGCATCCGTATTTTGAATCACAGCATGGGGTAAGTTTATCGTATTACAGCTTGAAACAACCAATTTTTTAGCCTCAAATTATATACTTGTGTACTTGTGTAAGTAAAGCTGTGCTCAGCAGTGCCATGTTTATACATCCTGAATAAAACAATGCAGGACAGAGAGACCCAAAAATAGTGTATGAGCTGTGTTAACATCTAGGGCTCAGGAAGGGGCTGCTTAGAGTATGCAATAAGGGACACTTCCTGGCACTGATAAATAGCCCTTTCCTGACTGTTCTCTACATAGTAAAGTACTTGCTATTTGATCAAGGGTTGATGACAAACACCCTCGCTTGAAATATGCAGACTGTAAATGCAATGTTCTTGAGCAACACTGTCACTTTATATATATATATATATATATATATACATACATACAGTGGGGGAAAAAAGTATTTAGTCAGCCACCAATTGTGCAAGTTCTCCCACTTAAAAAGATGAGAGAGGCCTGTAATTTTCATCATAGGTATACCTCAACTATGAGAGACAAAATGAAATGGACTTGCTGTATATTTTCTGTCTGCTTCATTTGATATTATGGTAGTTGCTAGTGATGGGCACGTTCTTGCAGTGACATCTAATCAGATTTGCACGACTTCTCCTGCGGCTCCAGAATGATTAGTTGGCTCTCTCCAGGGACAATAATCCTATTATTCCTAAACAACTAGAAATATGTGACAACGTATGTCAAACTTGGTTGTTTTGGTTATTTCATATTCTTATGTTATCTTCTGAAGATACCCTGATCTTTTCAATTTTTTTGCGAAATGTCACGTGTTGGAGGCTGTGCAAAGAGACTGTTCTTCAAAGCTCACTGTTCACAGCTCGTGTGTGTGTGTGTGTGTGTGTGTGTGTGTGTGTGAGAGAGAGAGAGAGGGAGCACCATAGTGAACTGCTCTGTTGCTCATTTCACATGTGACGCACCGTTTTTTTCTAGTTTTTAGCACAAGAAATTACTAACGTTTATATGGTCCAAAAAACAAAGTGTGTTCACGTATTACAGCTCCTTCTTATTGGATCCAGCAGTTCATAATTTTTTCTTAAACCCTAATCCTGACGCCCCACAGTTTTTCTAATTAATTTTAATGTAGCAAGAGGTTCTAATGAGAGAAAAACAGAGATTAGAGGTGAATTACTCCATTAAATGTTTGTAATCACATGACAGAAATTCAAATTGGTATGCCAGCAAAAGCGTTTTCTCTTAATAAACCAATAAACAAATTTCAAAATTGCTTGCCAGGAACTCCAGAGGGAGACACTCCACCCCCAAACCCCCACCCTCTTTTATTCTCCCTCCCTGCCTCTGATACACACTCTCACACTCTGTTGCACACATGCCAGGAGCCTCGCACTGTACCTGAGCACTCCACTCCACGCAGCGACCACCCACGCTGGGATCCAGTGTGCGCAAGAGACGGACAGAGTGGAAGGAGCTCACTGCCTTCCACAGCTGCACAGATCCTTGGAGTCTCTTCATCATCCCACCCCCCTCGCCCCCACCAACACCCCATCATCATCATCACAGTCTTTTCAAGCCAGTTAGATCACGAACCTGCTCTTTTCTGGTTGCTAAGGAGGGGAAATCGAGCTCCGAGGAGTGGACGAGGCGGTACTTACTAAGGTAACGCGCTCTTCCAGTCATCAGTTGTTTGTGTGTTGACTGTATGTCACTGTAAACTTGTTCCAATGTTCGCTGGCGCTGAATTATCAATTGTCCTGTGCAGCGCTGGATTCAAGTGTCTCCCGAAGTGCTGGTGAGTTTGAAGTGAATCATCCTGTCGCCTCGCGCTCCCTGCTGTGCGAACGAGCGAGCTTGTATTGAGGCTGGCGCGTGTCTTTCAGTGACAGGGTTTTTCTGCCTCTTATATTCGGCATCGCTCTGTGGAGTGCTCTGTGAATTGGGACCGGTGTTCCTGTGGGTATTGCTCTCTGAAAGCAGCTGTTTGTCTTTTTTAAATAGCTGCATATATTTGTAGTGCAATGTGGCTCTGGGAAATCGTGCCCAAGTTCAAACTGATAACATTTCTACCTTTAGGTTCGCTGGTGTTCATCACAAACAGCTGTGGTGAGCGCGCGCTCCTCATGTGGCCAGTGTGGAAGAGCATAACCGATTCAGAG